AATGAAACAATTGCTTACGGCCACACCATTTGTCGTCGCTACCACTGGGAAAATTGCTTATTGGAGATAGAAGAAAAAGGGGCAGCGGTTCTTTGTGTTTGGACAAAAGACATTAAGGGCTGGGACTGCTACAAAATAAGGAGAACTCATTTGGCGACTGCATTTCATCCCTGGTCAGCCGGTTTGGAGCAACAACAACAACCATTTTGCCGGTGGGCCTGCTGCCTCAAACAACGGTCAAGTATTTTATTTTATTTTTTTTTTTTTTTTGTTTTTAGACGTAAACGTAAACTTAGTTAAAAGGGCTTGAGAATTTGAAGCACGATGAGTGGCTAAGTTGAACATGATATCGCTGTAGCAGGAGTGCAATGGGCGGGTGCGTGCGTGCTGGAAAGTAGGGGGAGTAGACGGACTAAGTCCGGACCAACGAACGACGGACCACAGACTTCAAGGACGGACTCACACCGTTTTTTCTTCACGCTCAAATCCTTTTGTTTTTTTTTTGGTTTGCATTTTCCTTTTTGTTTTTGGTCACGCGGCTTAATAGGCTAGGTCCTTTAATTTAATCGCTCTACCGACAGCGGAGCTAGAACCGTGACAATGTCTGTTTATGGCTGTCTTATACTAAAAAAAAGACCTTCCTTGCGCTATGAAATACATTTTATCGGAACTGAGAAGTTTTCTATTTCCTAACTTTATGAAAAGTAAGGAGTCATTGATAAACCTTTCGCGGTAGCACAAGCTATTTGAGCGCAGTAGTCAGGCTTCCAAGACAACTACTTTTACTACAATACCAAATTTACATGCTATGCGTTCGACGCTTTCTCTGAAAACACATTTTACTTTATTGGTTCTTGAAAGAACTTCGACAGGAATAGCCATAAATTTCCTATGTTTTTATATTAAAACATCTGATTATCTATCAAAACTGGGAAGATTGTATCAATATATAACTAGAAATATGAAAGTGTAGCCTAGTATTATTGTTGTTATTATTATATTTTTAGATTAATGAAATAAATTATTGGACTAAAAAAAAAGACATTGAACACTAGAAACACAGGCTATCGACTCTAATTTATAAAAGTGCATTATATATTCAGCCTAGTAGTTTTAATAAAGTAATATATTGTATTGGCATTCTGTTCTGTAGCTGATTGTATAATATCCATAGGATTAGTACCTCTAAACGCAATACTTCTAGCCAATGAAAAGTTAAGGCAGTTATTACATACGGAATAGTAGACTAATATTTCGGCTTTTAGGTCGGCTTTCACTCTCCGAGCGTCTTCAGATCTACCAAGCAATCCGGGAATCGCGCTTATGGGACTACCAAGCTGTAGACACAAGTTTTCGAGTTACCGATAAGCGATATATACGTAATGTAATGTAAGGAGGTCATATGACGACAAAAAATCTTGGATGTTCTAAAAGAAAACATTGTTTACCCGTCTGGAAATTAATGTTTTTTTTATTTCAAGAAATTGAAAAAAAATTAGTAGGCCACACTTTTATATTTCTGATTACATATTGATGCAATCTCCCCGTTATTAGATAAAGTGTGAGTCTATGTAAAAGCGGAATAAGGACATTTTGTAATAAAGTTACGGAGGTTATTATTAATATATATATTTTAAAATTTTTGGGAGAATTTTACGATCTTATTTAAAACCTATGTTAGCAGAACTGAATCGAGAATGCATCCTCCACGTTAATCTTTCCAGCTCATGGTTTGCGAGGTTGAGAACATACGCAAAGGGCACAGGCTACGGCCAAATGGACTTTCATGTAGATTGATTGGCAACATTCTTATCACTATCGTATTTTAGTGACAATATGTTTTTTCTGCATGGTTTTCAATATGTTGGCATCGTTTTTGAAGTCGTATGATATCTTGGCACCGTTATTGAAAAAAAAATTGTTGCTTTCTAGTCAGTTCTGATAGATGTTCACTTTATATGAATTTAGCCGACTGGCTCTTAAAAGGGAAAAGGTGTTGAATACTAGGGACGTACTAGTCGCAAACGTCTTAAGTAGGCCTTTAAGAACGTCTTTATATGTCTTTATATTTCTTTTATACCTGATCATTTTGAGTTGAATCCTTTTCTAATGCCAATATGAAATGAAAGTGCCTTGAAACCTTATTTACACCTTATTATATTACTGACTTAGATGAGAAGGTTGAATTAAGTGGACTGGCCGCAAAGCTGAAACACTATCTCTTGCGTTTTTCTTTATCTGATAGATATATAAAAAAAACCCTTTTACAATTGCCTACAAAGGTTATAAAGAAAATAATACATTAGGCAGTGTAGTCTCTGCGTAGGAAAATAATTATCCTCTCGTAATTAATAAACTTAAAAAATATCTAAAATTTTTCGAAAAATTGAATTCAACTTTTAAAATTTATCAATGAATTTTATTTATTTTTGTATTTACTTAATTTACTTCCGCCGCAGAATAAAACATTAGCCGAATGTAAGCTACAAAATAACTTCATATGTAGTGTAAAGAAGAAACAATAAACAAAAATAAAC